CCCCTTTTTTTCCGGTCTCTATGTTCTTTTTACATATGCTTATCTTGATAATTATGAAAAAGGTGACATAAATAACTTATGTATGTATTTTTGTACATATTTTTTTTTTTGATTAAACTGTTGTACTATGTCTTTGTCTTTTTTTTTTTTTTTTTAAAAAAATTTTGGTTTTTTTTTTTTTTTCCTTTTTTTTTGTATTGTTTTATTTCGTTTTTGAATACACAGTTCTGGATTTTTACCTATGGCCTAGAGTGCTCCATCTAGTTTGGTTTCTCGCAAAAAGTTTATTAGCTCTTTAAAAAGCTCAGGTTTTTTAGTGGTGATAATTTCATTTATGGTCTTGTACGTGTCAAAGAGTTTAAACTTCGTTCTCATAGCGTTGTACCTATCACAGTGGAAGATTTGATGATCAGGAGTTTCCAGCGTATTGCAAGTGTTGCAGTATTCACTAACATTTGGTACAAATTGTTGTAAATAGATGCTGTTGTATGTGTGTCCAGTAATTAGTCTGTTGAGGAGCTTCATGTCATAAGGCTCTAAGTCAAATCTCTTGTCCTTAAACCAAGGTCGTCTTTCCTTTGTCGCAAAACTGTTGATGATATTATGGTCCCAGTCTACACATTTTTCCTTTATCTTGTCCTTAGTCTCTGTCCATAGTAGAGTATTGATTTGTATAAGTGCCTCTTGTGGCTTTAAGTCAATCGAAAGCGTCTGGCCGTGATTCACTGCAGTTTTAGCTGCAATGTCAGCTTTTTCATTACATGCTACGCCTACGTGGCTGGGTACCCACATGATGACTGCAGTTTCTACTTGTGAATTGGCAATTTGATTGTGGATTTCGGCCACTATATGGTTCTGGGTTAACGGTCGTTTTAACAGTTTTACAGCAGCCAAGCTGTCTGTAAAAATGCATGGTTTATTCCACTTATATTTTTTAGCAAGTTTGACCGCCTGTAACAGTCCTACTAATTCCCCAAACGTCGTCGACCGGTAAAAGGGTATGTTGTATAAGTAGGAGACGTTATTTGCTGTGTCGTATACAGCACAACCAACTATATTTTCACTCACGGAGGCATCAGTCGCTAATATGTGAAAACCCTGATCAAGATAGTATGCTTGTTGTTCTCTAAAGATAGCTTGTAGTTGTTCATGCGCCACATTGTTTTTGGACTTGTTAAGATTTGAGTCTATTAATTTGAGATTGGGGTGTCTGATGAAAGTAGTGTTTGTGTTAATTTGATTGAAAATGTCCTTAAATTTCTCAAAGGTGTGGCTGTAGCTTGATTTGACCGGTCTACTATTTTTTAGTTGTGTTCTTAAATCTGGATTGAGAAACCATTGCTTGGTCAGCTCTTTTGAAGTTAACCAAACTGCTCTTGCTAGCGGTGGCAGCTCGCATGCTATGGCATATCGAGCTAGGGTTGGTGTGTTAGGGGGAACTCCTAAGCATCTACGCAGGGATTCATTTGCTATTGTTTGTAGTTTTTTGTTGTAGCAGTTCGGAGCATTGGCATAGCTGGTGTTGCTGTATTCCATCTTGGATCTTACGAATACTTTGAATAGGTTGAGCCCTATTCTGGGTGTTAACCCTGCTTTTATTGTAGTCAGTTTTGCAAGTAAATTTTTACCTGATGTTATTTCGTCTTTGACCTTTCCAACTTGCCCTTTGATTGTCGAGTTCGAGTTAATAATTCTGCCCAGCCATTTTGTTGTGACTACCTGCTCAATTTGGTTACCACTGATTGTTAGTTCAAAGTTTCTTTTGTTCCCTGCAGAAAGGTACATGAATTTCGTTTTTTCCAAGTTGAAATTCAGGTTTATAGAGTTGCAGATCCCATGGATGTTAATAATTTGGGTTTTCAAATTGAGGATTGCAGCTTTTTCCGACTTGCAGTGCGAAATTATTGCTATGTCATCTGCAAATTGAAAAACTTGCGTTTTGCTATCGTTTATACAGTGAAGCTTGGCCGTGTAAATATTGAAAAGTATTGGTGACAAACAGCTACCTTGAGGGAGTCCATTATTGACTTCCACCGCATGTGGCCCTAGAGTCAGTATTCTCGAGGAGAAGAAGTTTTTCGTCCAATTAGCAATTTTTGGGTTTATGTTATATTCCAACAGCGTGCGGTGTAAGATTTCGAGGTCGACCCCGTTGTATGCGTCAGTTATATCTAGGAAGCAAATAAAAACTTTTTCGTTGTTACTCTTTTTGTCAGCTACAAAATGCAGGGTTTCGTTTAAGCACATTGATGACGATCTTTGTTTTCTGTACGCAAAGCTTTTTTGTGGGATTATATTTCGCAACTCTACTTCTTCTACCAGGGCATCTTTGATGAGCATATTGAGACTCTTCGCAACAACTGAGATCAATGATATTGGCCTAAAGTTTTTTAAGTCATCCAATTCTTTATTTGCTTTGGGAATAGAACAATTCTGATTCGCCTCCACGACTCAATGACTTCGTTGTTATGGTAACTTGATTCCAAGGCCTTTAGCAGTTTTTCTTTGGATTCCCTAGGTAGATGTCTGAGAGTGCTAAAGGTGATTTTGTCTACCCCCCCTGCTGTCGACTTTTTGCTATTGAGTTTTTCTTCAAAATTGTCATACGAAAAATTAACCATGATGTTTGGCTGCTGTGTCAGATGTGAAGGGTACAAACCTGGTTGCGTTGCTTGTATTGTTGCGGCTGTTACTTGCGACTTTAGCATTTCCAGGTATTCTAAATTGTCTTCTGTGGCCCAATCACCGTTTTTGTGTTTGTTGCCTTTAACATTGCTGATGAAACGCCATGCGTCTTTGGTGTTTGGACAATTGTTTAGCTCTTCAATCCTCTCCTTGTAATTCTTGTTTTTAGCCTCCTTTACAGCTTGTTTCCATTCTTCTTTTGCTCTCAAGGCTATTTCGAAGTCCACCACTGCATTTGTAGTATTCGCTTTTTTCCTTTTCGCTAGTTGTAACCTGTACAATTTGTTTATCTCCTCGTTCCACCACGCTTTTGGTTTGTGTCCTGATTTGTTTAGGTCAATCTTTACTTTATTTCTAGCTGCTTGAATGTCCTTTTGCAGATTATCCAAATTGCTAAACTCCACTGTGGCTAGTTTTTCTATAAATTTGCGTTTTGGAACAAAGAAGTTGGGTAATTTTTGAATTTGCTTGATTTCAATTATAATAAGATAATGCCTGCTTCCACCAATACTAACCTGTTGGCACTGCCAGTTAATATTGCTGGGTGCTATGGTTGAGAAGGTCAAGTCTAGAACCGATCCAGCGTTGCTGTTACTGTTACTACAGTAATGCGTTTTTGTACCGTTGTTAAGACAGATTAAGCTGGTGTTAGACAGTTCCCTGCTGAGTGCATTTCCCTTCGGGGTTATAATGCTATCTCCCCAGTTCATGTGCCTAGCATTGAAATCTCCTACTAGGATGACATTGACGTGGTTGCTTAAAAAAATTGCTAATCTATTTATTTCTTTTTCGAAAACTCTAGTGGTTATGCTAGGTGGAAAGTACACATTGCATATGGTGACTGTCATGTCTAGACTAGTGGTTTTAGCTATTATGATGTCCTGTCTGGTGTTATATTTTATTTTGCTGTATCTAATTCCTCTCCTGAATCCTATGGCTACGCCACCGAACCCATCTGCTCTTGTTTTTTTGAGCATATTGAAGTTTAGGAGTTTGTGGTCATTAATTTGGTCGTCATGGGAAAAAATCTCCTGAAGGCAGACAATATCAATGTTATTCTTATTGTTAAAAAAATCTACATAGTTTTTGTTAGTTTTGAGGCTTTGGATGTTGTACTGCAGGACTTTTACACTCATCATTGGTGTTAATAATGAGTCTGTCGTCAATATTAACCTTGCATATGTTTTCTAGCAACTTTACTAGTGGTTCTTCTCTATCAATTTCAAATTTTTTAATTAATAAGGTAACCAACTTTTCAATTTCAGTGACCTTGTTCCATTTGGGATTTTCATAGACCGGCTGTGTTTCACTTTTTTGTCTCAGGCTTTTGGGATTACCAGTGTTTGTGGCTGAGTCATTGGTTGCTCTTTTAGTAACATAACTGTATTTGGTTGTTGTCAGCTTCCGATTTATTACGCGATCTTTATCTATAGTCCCCGTGTTGTTGGGCTTAATCGGTGGGAAGGCTTCGTCATAGTTGTCCAGAATTGAAAACTGATTGTTTGTGTTGAAGCTATAGATTTCCATGGCTTCTCGTTTTGAAATTTTTTTGATTGTCATGACTTCTAAAATTTTCTCCTCCTTCTGCCATCTTTTGCACGCCTTGTTGTTGAGCGAGTTGTGCCCTTCTTCGCCACATAAAATACAGCTGTTGTTGTTGGTCATGCATTTGCTGCTGCAGCCCTCCTCTTTGCCACATAATACACATCTGTTCTTTGCTTTACAGCCGAGCTTGGTATGTCCCAACCTTCCACAATTGAAACATTGCCGTACTCTTGGTATATAATGCGAGATCTTTAGTTTTACATAAAAAAGCTCAACCGTTTCCGGCAAATCGTTGCCTTGGAAACTTATTTTAACCGTTAACGTTGGTAAAAATTTGTCCCTATTGTCTGGATCACGTCTTGTTATTCTCGTAACAGAGGTTACTTTTATTTCAGATTTGATGTTTTTTAATATTTCTTCCTCCGAAAAAGACGTGGGGATTTGGCGTGCAACTCCCATCGTCTCAACAAAGTTTCTAGGAATAAACGGTCTCATTAGATTTTTTGCTAGTTCTGGGTTTTCAAGGCACTTATTTGCTAGAGTATAAGACTCAAAAAAAACTTTGTACAGGGATCTACCTATGGCTTTAATATTTTTTATACCTTCGATTTTGAAATTGCTGATTTTTTCCCAAAGAAACAGGCCATTTTTATATTCTCGTTACTGCACAGCGGGCTTTTGCTTGTGTCTATGAGGACACAAAAATCCCCTCTGTGATTTTCTGAGTAGTGACCACTGTACTTTTCGTTTTCGTTTAGCTTACTCGTATTGTTGTTGCTACCCATGGTTGCAGTTTGCGCGCCACTAGTGGCTTCGGCTGCCATCTTTACTTGTTCTTTTTCTACTTCACGTATATTATTTTCTTTTGACCCGTTACTCGTTGCTTTGGCAAACGTGCCTTTTGGCACTAACATGCCCTGTAGCGGTGGTAGTGGAATCCCGTTATTCGTGTCTTTTTTTGGTTTTTTACTAAAATTGTCCAAATTTTGTTTAAGGTTTTCGTCCTCCGTCCCGGAGTCCAGTTTACCTTCCGTCTTGTTTTTGTTTTGTCTTTTTCTGTTATATGCTGTTTTTTTTTTATTCCTGCCAGCCTCAAACCAATTTGTGGCTAGCCCGGAGTCCGACTCACTCATGTTTAACACCCCGTCCAATGCCGGGGTGTCCTCCATTTTATTGAAAAAAGGAACGCACTAATATGTGTACTTTTCTTTTCTCTTCCACTGTGTAAAAATAGTTAACAAAGCTATGAAATGACTCACCACTTTATCCACTTTGACCACGATGGAGCACTACTACGCGCTAGGCTTACACTTGCTTTTCGTAATGAAAATATAACACACAAAATTTGCTTTACACAAATATGCAAAAGACTTTATTACACACACACAAATTGAAGCACAAATGTACGGTGAATTGAACCTCCACCCTCGGCTGCTGCTGTTGAAGTGTGATATGTACATATTTAGTTAAAAATATTATTTGCAATGCATGCAAGTGTGTACATATGTATTTAAATCAACATAATCATTTGGAAATTTTTGAGAAAGCGCGAATGCAATCTGTGTGATTATTGCCTTTGGGTATTCATTCATCAGATTGGTATTTGAATTTTTACATCACATCACTGTTTTGCATTTATTTTACTTATATACAGTGGTGGCCACATAATTGAGGACATTTCTTCTTTACAAGTTTTGACCATTTATGTTCTTTACTTATATCTTTTTTTACAAAAATGTATTTTATATCACAACGAAAACCATGTCGCTCTAAATTTAAAACTTCTTAATCAGAAATGAAAAAGGTCGGGTATGCAGTTCTTAGCACATTAAATTTTAGCATGTTATTGTGCAAGTTTCAAGCGGCTAAGGATTCGCGTTGCCTTTTCAAGTTTGTTTTGCTGACGTCGTTTCCGCTAATATCTGAAAAAAGTGCACTCTCTTAATTTCAGATCTCTTTCACAATAATAAAGCCAATTCAATTTGCTATCATGTTAACCAAATTTTCCAATCGGATGAGTAGTTTAGGAGGTGTTGATTGACTTACCGCCCAATTCTGTGTTTTCTTGATAATTTTTTTGTAAAGAAATTTTATCAAGATTTTTATCAAGTAGAAGCTTCCTTCGCATTCTGTGTCAATATTTATAAAACAAAAAGCTCTACGACTTCCACATTAGTGGAACTGATTTCCACATGAGTGGAACTGATTTCATTGTCACATATGAAAAGTATGAAATTAAAAGCGAAAAAGCTTTTGACTGCCGTAGCCGAGTAGGTAGAGATGTCGACTATAATTCCGTGTGTCGTAGGTTCAAATGCCGGCACATGGAGTATTTAATTGTTAGAAACAAATTTATTAAGATACAAAACTTATACAATTCACATGAAATTTCAATTTGTCAATAGCATTTTCAATCTTGATAATTTATCAAGAAAAGAGCTTTTGATTTCTGTGCTAGAATACCAATTCTTGATAAATAATAAAAAATTTACAAATTATAAAGATTTTCAATTTATCAAGTGCACAGAATTGGGCTGTTAAAATAAATAAAATTTTTTTGGTGCAAATATCATTAAAAATTAAAGAACTTGTTAATTTCCGGCTTCTTAGACGTTATGAGCACTTAAATAAAATATGTACGTACAAAAAATTTTCATACAAATTTATGAATTCATTAATATGTACATTTATTTGTATGTACATATGTAGTTCAAACTTTTACTAAAATTTTGATTCTCTATATCTGAAAACTTACCTTTATGGCTGAAAATTCAAAAGGCTCATACATACATATACATATGTATGCGACCTTTGACCTTTAATCAATTTTTTGCAGATGTGGGACCGATGGATGGTTTTCACGTTTAATTTATAATGGTGTATTCAATATTCTATGCGAATCATACCCCTATTTT